ACCGCAGCCAGCATTGCTAATAGTCCTTGTTAGGTCCGGTGTTCCATGCTATTTGGTCAGCCTTTTTTGTAATTCATCTTCATCCCCACAAAGCTTGAAGTATCATCAAAGTGTTCATAGTTGGTCTTCCATTTGCTAATGTTTGAGTGATCATATTCCTTAGTTTCATCAATAGGTACATCTTTTAGTAGACTCTTTCCTCTGTATGCCATCAGCTGGAGTAGTTTTTGCAAATGGTTGTTGAAATACAGAGTCTGATCAGATGGATCCTCCACAACTTTTTCTTGCAATAATTTGTCACTGTTAACATAATATTTTAAAGATATATGTAAAGATTGTAAAGTTTTATTTCTAAATTCTTCTATCTGATAAAGTATCTGATAAATTTCAAATTTATCACTTCTATCTGATAAATTTCAAATTTATGCTTAAACAAAATCAGCCTCTTCCCGCCTCTTCAAATGCTTTGTCAAACTATGAAAACAAAGGCACTTTTTTCCTCTCGATTTTATCCTTCACCGTCCGTCCGTCGATTAGTGTTGTTTGAATATTTGAAATGTTAATAATATTAAAATATTATTAACACACGCCTAAGCAGATAAATAAATAAATAAAAATATTTTTTACAGGTAAAGATTGCAGAATCGACATCGAAGAGTGCAGAAAGTAATCCATGCAAATACGATGGCATATGTCTCGAACGAAGTAATACAAGTTTGTACCAGACGCCCGATTCTCCACCGTGCTAGTGGGTCCGCAGCCGCATAATGCTATTACCACAAGTGTTTTATCAGCCGTTCTCACTCGAAAATGCTGGAGGGTAAGTTAAACTAATAACTAGTCCTTCATCTCACAACCGCACCGATAACCACGTTCAGGGTTTAAAAAATCTCAAAATTTAAACAGCCTATGTTGACCTCATGAACAACAAAATGGCGAATTTATATTATTACTATTATTGGGCAAACCGTCGTTTTTCCATGTACATATACAATTTATAATGAAATAGGGGTTGATCGTGAGGGCGAAAATTAGGGGTTGTATGTATTTTTTAATGCTGTATCGCATAAGTATCATAAAAAATTATCTAAAAATTAAAACAATATTTAAAGGGGTGGACTACCCTTAACATTTAGGGGTATGAAAAATAGATGTCTGATTCTCAGACATACCCAATATGGACACAAAATTTCATGAGAATCGGTCAAGCCGTTTCGGTGGAGTTTAACTACAAACACCGCGACACGAGAATTTTATATATTAGATTATTCGTTATTATATAAATAGATTATTCAATACTAATAGTACTTTGTTTTCAACCTTATTCTCATAAAGTCGGGTTAAAAAATGCCTAAAGTTTCTATACCAGGCTCTGTCTTACTACCCTACCTGCAATTCAAGATCTTAGCTAACAATTTTTCTTGGTTCATAAATTATTCTATTATTAAATCAGGGTTATTTATTTCAAATAATATGTTTATAAATACCTATATAACTAATCAATCTTATATGTATCATTACATTATAAAATTAATTTTGCGGGTAGTATGGCAAAACGCAGAATGAAAAGGAATAAAAATATATATATATTCTCCACCCTCAGATATAAATAAATATTGATTATATGTATTTGCAGTTTTGAGTGTGTTTGCGTGACCGGTACAACTGGACCTCGTTGCGAGATAAATATTGACGAATGTGAATCGTCCCCTTGCGGACACGGCAAGTGCGTGGACAGTATCGGCGATACCGGTGTTGAGTGCGCCCGGGTACGAGGGAGAACATTGCGAGATTGAGAGATCGATGAGTGCCTTAGGTAAGGTATCAGATAGTAGACGATTTGCTTAAGTCCATATAAATTATTTTAATTCAGAGTTGTAAGAAATATATATGCCCAGCAAACAGAGGGGGAGGAGTTTTCCTTCGTTTTTTGGGGAGGGAAAAAAAAAAAGGGGTAGGGAGAAGGGATTGGGGTTTTTTTTAGTTTTGTGGGTTTGTTAAAAAAAAAAATAAAAAAAAAAGAAAGAATTTTTTTTTTTTTTTTAAAAAAAAAAAAAAAAATGGGGTTGGGGGGAAAAAGAGGGTTGGGGGGAAAAAGGGGAAAAAAAGGAAATTTTTTTAAAAAAATTTTTTTTTGTGTGGGTGTGTATGTGACTGAACTCCTCTAAACAACTGGACCGGGTTTTGATGAAATTTTTTGTGTGTGTTCAAGGGGATCTGGGAATGGTTTAAATTCACAAATCAGCCCGGCAGATGGCACTGCAGTCGGTACTTTCATACTTTGCTTAATATCTAATCGCTTTAAATATCATGCAGGACAACGTCTGTAGGGTCCACCTAGTATTCTTATATCCGTTTTGAATATTCGTCTTTAGTGACTTTCAGTAACGTGTGGCCTCCATGAGCCTAATCACGGCTTGACAACGACGCGGCATGCTTCGTATGATCCTCCGAATATCTTCTTGTGGAATTCGCTCCCATTCTTCAATTAACGCTTCAGTGAGCTGCTGCAGTGTTTGAGGTGCAATCGGACGCTTCCGGATGCGCCTGTCAAGCAAGTCCCAAATGTGTTCAATTGGATTTAGGTCAGGGCTCATGGAAGGCCACTCCATTACACGGATTTCCTGCTGTCGTAAGTAATCTGACGTGATGGCTGCAGTATGCGGCCTGGCATTATCTTGCATTAAAAGAAAATCTGGGCCCATACCATATGCTGCAGGCCAAACATGATCTTCGAGCACATTTTCAATGTAAGTTTGAGCACACAAGCGCCCGGGAACAACGACGAGATCTGTGCGCTCGTCCAAACTAACTCCGCCCCAAACCATCACAGAGCCACATCCAAATTTGTCATATTCCTGGACTGCTGCTGCACTGTATCGCTTGCCTGGGCGTCTGTAAACACGGAGACGACCATCGCAACGTGTTAGACGGAATCGTGATTCGTCAGTAAAAAGCACTGGCCTCAATGTCGAAGTTGCCAATTAGCGTGATTTTGCGCAAACTGTCCGGCGAGCTTGTCTATGTTGAATTGTTAGACGCACAGCCCGAACTGGTCGGCGTGATCTCAAATTGGCTTCCAACAACCTATTTCTTACCGTCTGGTCGGAAATTTCTACACCAGTAGCCGTCCTTAGTGTATTTTGTAGATCTCTTGCAGTTGTGTTGCGGTTACGTAAAGCACAGTTGACGATGTAGCGATCTTGCAAACGTGTAGTTTTTCTCTTTCGACCTTGACCACGCCTTCGTGAGTATTCTCCCGTCTCACGGTATCGCTTCCAAAGTCTGTAGATAACAGAAGGCTACTCCTAGATCATTTCCTACATAACGCATAGTTCGACCCTCTTCAAGCAAAGCGATAGCTCGGGAGACATGCAATTCAGTCAGATCTGGCATTATGACCTAAACTCACTCGCTTCAATGAATAACAATACTCAAAAGGCTCACTTCAATTTCTATTAATACTCAAAAGATTGAAAAAAACTACTTAAAATGTTTTTCTGTGATTAGAAAGTAATGAAAATTCAAAGACGTCACTTTGTTTTTCGTCTACAATGCACATTTTAATTTTTTTTTAATAAAAAAAATACAAATTGTTTTTTTTTATTAATTGTAGTAATTAAAAAGGTAAAAAAAAGCGTACAAGTTAATTTAAATCTTATTTTAGTTTAAGCAATAGAAAGAAGAAAAATCTTGTTCCGCTAATTGTTTTGAGCAGTATATATATTCGAAGCCTTTTTTCTTTTTTTCTAAGCGAACCCAAACTTTCCAGCTTAAACATTTAGACTTAAAGCTAGTTTCCATTTTAAAAGTACTACGAATAGTTCGTTCTTATTTATCGAAAAATGGATTGGTGGACGAACAGGCACGCGCCATGCATGTCACGGACGATTGCTACGACGGGCACGCGTCGTACATGTGTCCTATGTGAAGCCGGGTTGGGGTGGACGAAACTGTTCAGTTGTTCTACGGCTGTACGGAATTCACCCTGTGCTAATAGAGACGGCACTATACTGCCAATCGCCAAATAAGGACATAGACCAATCAGCTTCAACTGCCATTGCGCCGGGATTTTATGGGACCGCATGTGAAAAGGTAGATAACAATCTATAAACACTAAACGTTTTTACAATTGATTGTTTCTTAAATCATAAAACTCTACTGGCATCCGCGTTTATTTATAGCGCATTCATATAGTTAATATATGGGGACCTTGGGATAAATGGAAATGTTTTTATATACTTTTTTATACAATTGGTGACAGTTTGGAAAATGACATGAAAAATACCACGTGAGTTTCCATGTTTATAACCAAACTTAACGCTTTCTAAGACAAACTTTATCGAAATACATTTCTTTTAAATTTCTATAATTTTACATCTTTGTACAACACTTTTTATTAGATACGATATGTACTATTAAATGTAATGTTATTTTTTTTTCTTATATATACACATAAATGTGAAAGGTTTAAACGCTAGATATAATTTTGTTACGTAGTGTTGACCTAGTGACTGTGCTTGAATGGACTTTCTTTCTATGTGCGTATTTAAAATTCGCTCGAACGGTGAAGGAAAGCATCGTGAGGAAACCGGCTTATATACCCAAACAGTCGACGGCGTGTGTCCAGGCACAGGAGGCTGGGAGGCTTACCTATTAGTTTGACAGGTAATCACTAGAAACGGGTACTAAATCCAGAGGCCTACACCTAATAAGGTTGCAGCGCCACTGATTTAATGTAATATATAGTTTGTTAATATACACTAGCAGTAAATAAAAAAACAAACCAAGAATCCTCTAGTCGTCGAATGTCATAATTTTTTTTTGTCAAGTTAATAAAAATCCCTGCCTTTAGTATTTCCGAACCAATTCGACTTCAAGAAAAGAGCTTACCAATTCTTAAAATGGCGGCAGCGCCAGCATTACCAATACGGCAGTATCATAATATTAGATGGGCCTCCTGAATTATTTTGAATGATTGACACTAACTGTCGGTTAGTGAGAGGTAGATCGGTTTTAGAGAGAAAGCATTGTGGGGTGCCTTTCTCGAACCTAATTTCGCTGTTTTGCTGATGATTTTCTTTTTTCTGCTTTAAGTGCCAGCAGAATTTCTATAATTTTATTTTATTGTGTGCTTATATTATCGTAAACGTTTTAATTGTATTTTTAATTTCTATTTTTTTTTGTGAAACTATGTTTACATTATTTTAGATGTAAGATTTTGTAAAATAATTAGTAGATTTAGTGCTGTGTGTGATGTCATAACCTTGTAACAAAACTAAATAAATAAATAAATATTAAGAAATGTTAAAAAAAAACTGACAATACTGACGAAATTCGATGCGTACACATTTTTTTAACGGGAAATATGATTCCCCGTTTTTGACGTCATAGTCATAGTTTGAAGTTATACTTAGCGTTGTCTCGACTCTGCATATAACATTCAATTATACTAATTTCATTCAATTTGAATTACAATGTTTAAAAATAAAGTTATCTTGCATATTACAGATAACCAAAGTATGTCTCTGGAAAGAGAGTAGCTTTGTAGGAGTGAGACACATCGCGTGAGGAAGGTTATGGCATCTCTTTCCGGTTCAGAGCAACCCTCAGAAATGGTCTATTAACGATGGGTCGCGGTCTCCACGTACTTCTTCTTGGAGTTGTCAAATGGACGACTGAATCTTCACTCCAGTCTATTGAATAGAAGTGGGAGGGAGTTTTCGACCCGATCCATTTAAATGACAGTAATTGGTAGAAGGTTAGTGAATCAAAAGTCATATTTATTGTGAAATCGTGGTTAGAAGGGCTGACAACATTTTTATTTACATGTCAATTTGCTATTTGTGTTTTGTAATTAAACACCTCCTAAACGTCTGGACCGATTTAAATTAAACTTTAATTTAAGATTTAGGTTAAGATCAAAAAAAACTTTATGATTATTTTGTATTAAAAACGTATGTACATACAAAGAATTATCTCTTACAAAGTGCGTACCTATTCCAGATAACTGGAAAAACTGTATTAAAATGGCTTGACTTAGCACAAACTTGCCGTTTAATACTTTTATTTAGTAAGATATATACATTTAAATTCAGGCTTAGCAAAAATTTTCTACATATATGCGTAATGAACAACTGTTTCGCAGTAATAAATAAATAAATTTTAGCCCAAAATTTATTCAATTATTATTAGTATCTTTATTTTATTTCCTGCCCTCTCCATGGTTAAAACAGAAAATTTGATAAAAACAAACAATTTGGCTGAGTTTTCGTAACTTTATGTGCTGCCACATTTTTCTCTATCCGCACATAGGCTGGACTTTTATCTGGTTAGAGTAGGTTATTCCTTTAATTTTGCAGTGTCTTTTTTTCCGTCGGCGCGGCTCGGTACGTCCTCTTCTTCGTACGGTTGGTAGCTTTTGGACCAACGTTTCTTCGTTGGATGCTTTCAGGATGTCGTCGTTAACCCCTTTTGGTGGGTATTTTTCTTTAAATGTTATCTAAAGTACTCCGATAGTGAATTGTATCTTATAAGAACTTGGAGGAAACGGATCGTGATTTGGTAACACAGATGGCCCGTCACTAAATTATTGTCATCAAAACTATACATTGTCGTAAGAGAGCGCTGGACTGAAACCGAGTGGAAACAGATTATGATGATGCTTCCTTGCTGACCGAGACGCTCAGACTTGAGCTACCGATTGAGAAAGTGAGGAAGGACTGTGGTATTGCAATGGGCCGTGCGGTAGCAACGGTTTATTATCAGTCCCGGTCATAGTTCAAGTTTGAGGAGTTATTAAAAAAGTGTATGCAAGTGCAAAAGTGTCAGAAGTGAAATTTCTTTGAAAACTAATTTTTTAACTCTTGACCATGTTTGCGCAAATCTAAAACTTTAGATATCCGAGACTAGAAAGTGTTCGAAGAATTTATACAAATAATAAATTTAATTTTTAATTTAACCTTTTATAATAAAAACACATGGCATTTTAATTTACAATTCGTCATTTGAGATTTCAATAAATTATTTTGCATAAAATATAAAATACTCACATTTCATAAATTCTCATTACGAAATTTTAATTTTAAAAATAGAAATTCACTTCTATTTCACTCAATCGGTCTCAATCAGCTCTCTCCTTTTCTTCGACAAAACGCTGCACATCTTCGTCGATTTAGCTTTTTAAAATTTCACCCTCATGCGCCTAAAGAAAGAAGTTTCACTTCCAAAAGTCATTTGTGTTCTGCCTGGGGTGCAGGACTGTACGGAGCCAGTGGTTTAACCCAACGTGGAGGCATGGGTCGGATTTTGAGGAGCCAGCGGAGCCCTGCATTGAGACCTTAGTCAAAGATGTATCAATATTCTTTATATATATGTAATCTGTTTTGGCTTTCTATATTGTCTGTGTTTTGTTTTATAAGTGATTGTATGAATTTCTCCTTCTTTCTTTCCATAGAAGAATGCAAATTGATAGCTACAATTCCTCACTTCGAGCTTGTAAAACACTATAAAATCAACTTATTTAATGGTTTTAAATGTTTTCCAGGTACTTCGAAAGATTCGAATACAACTGTACCTGAATTCAGCACGGAACGTGTGGGGTCAGATGGGGGTAAGAAAGAGACAGAGGAGATAGAAAGCAGAAATGGATCGGGTCAAGAAGATGAAGGTCGTTGGGTGGTGTTGAGAGGGAGGGGTTGCCGTCCCCCACTTCGAACCCCGCAGTGCGGAAACTAACTCATGTCACTCTGGGGGCCATTGCGAAGACCACTTTCGTGTGTTCATACGGCCTCTTACTAGTATATTTGGGACATACTTGCCAGTATTGGGATGATTTTTCAATGAGAACATACATTACGAAATCTAACCTCAAGGATAGATTAGCATTTGAAAATCTTAATTAAAAGCTCTGTTCTTGTGTTCTTTTTTATTTGCTGCTACAACTGGCTGGCACCCAACACTGTGTGTACTAACACTAATTTACTAAAACAGAAGCGGTTTTATCTTTTCACTCTTCTCAGTAATTTAAGAAGAAAAATAGTGAGTGGATCTGCAAGCGATATATTTTTTTTTTATATAGTTAGCTAGTTTTACAATGCACTTGGTAATAAGCCTTCTTTATTACGTATATATGGAAGAAATCTGTATATATCTCAAAAAATATTTCAATTTAGAAACTTAGCCGTTACCTAAGTTGAACAGTGTGCCCACTTTAATGAAAAATTAACTTGGATCATCTCATTATGAGCTTTGGTAACAAAATTCGCATGGACTTAGGGAATTTAGCACACGCTTGTAAACTGGGCACAGTTGTAACTATACTCAAATATTTTCCAGCTTCTAACAATATCTGCGCCGCTGCCTTTTTACAAATAGGTCTAAACGAAATATCTATTATGTGTGTGATTGTTAAATCTTTCAAATCCCCCTAATATTATTCCAAAAAAGTAACCAGTGGCGCTACGTTTTAGGTCTGGGCCTCAGATTGATGCATCTGTTTCGTCAGCATCGTCTTTTCTTATATGTTAACAGTGTTCTGTGCCTGACATAATCAACTTTTTGGGACTAAGGCACTGGTTTTTTATAAATGTTTTGCTTATCGTACAGAGTGAATGTTAGAAATTGTCATAAGTCCATTTCGCAAGTGTCGCAAGCTAAAGCCAGGTCAAACTGCTCTTAAAAAATGATTACACCATGCATACTATTTACGAATACTATACCTTGGTTGGTCCACCAACACCAATTGTGCCCACCGAATCCCGACTCTTCTTCCAAACACAACACAAGCGCCCAACCCCAGACAGACGATTCCGAGTACTTCAAAGGTGTCATTCAAGACGTCCAAATATCAAATGGACTGAATTTAACTGGGTGGGTTTTTCTGTGGGGGGGGGGGGGGGTTTCTTTTTTTTGGGGGGGGGGGGGGTGTGGGGGGGGGGGGTTTTGGGGGGGTGGGGGGGGGGGAGAAGGGGGGGGTGCCTGCGCCCCCTGGGAGGGGGGGGAGGAAATGGGTTTTTTGTGTTGGTTTTTTTGGGGGGTTTTTTTTTTTTTTTGTTTTTTTTTTTTTTGGTGGGGGGGGGCGGGGGGGGGGGGCGTGGGGGGGGGGGGGGGTGAAAAGAGGGGGGGGGGGGGGGGGGAAAATTTTTTTTAAAATGTGGGGATTTTTTTAAGGGGGGCAAACTTTTTTTTTTGGGTTTATGGCTGAGGTTTTTTTTTTTTTTGGTTTTTTTTTTTAATAGGTGACCCCCTTTCTGTACAATGACACTCACAGAGAGCTTATTGGCTAAATAGTCGATCTAATACCTACTTATAAAAACTGGTTTAAAATTCTGCAATAAACCAACCCTAACAAAACGGAAAAAGTCTTGAAGTGTCCATATTTGTTCATAAAACTCAAAATCCGTATTCTCTATATTCGAACTTTTTACTTAAATAAAAAAATTACTGGACACAAATAAAGATATAAAAACATTAGCGGAAGTATTAACAGACAGAGTTACACAATTTTCCCGCCTTTTTCTCCCCGCCTAATTACAAGTCACTTTATTAATATAGAAGATCGTTACAATTAGGGCGGCACTTAATTGACGTTAAACAGCATTCTCGGCTTTTATTTTTTGTTAATTGCTTTATTTTTAACACTATGTGTTAGTTATATTTTTTTATTAATTTTGTTGAAGATTATGCATCGCGTTTGATTGCAAATTAACGTTTTTTTATTTTTTTTTTATTTAATTATAAGTAATCTTACAGCTAACATACATAATATTACAAAACAAACATATACAGTACAAAAAGCAAAACAGATTACATAGATAAACAATATTATATAAAGAAAAAATGAAACAAATAAGCGCATCAATAGACAAAAATATATACAGAAAACTGAAATTTAATATTTAAAACAATAAATAATACCAAATACAACCTAAACAAAATTCGAGTCTTCCCGCCCCTTCAAATATTTTCTCACATGTTCTTTGGTGAGGTGGAAAATATCAATATCCTTATAATTAGTGTCATAGTTAGATAAACCCGAAACATTGGTGAATTATGCAGGTAATTCGAGTTCGTTACGAGGCACATGGAACAATTTTGTGTGTCTTGTCGCATATGGAGAAGGAATTTTAAAAGAAATTAACGATAGCAAATAGGGGCTATCGATCCGCCCATTAAGAATAGCATGTAAAAAAAGCAGGTCTTGCTGACTTCGCCGACTTTCTAATAAGTCTAAATTAAAATAATTGATGTGCATAACTATCGAAGCATTGGTATTTTTTAAAACTAAGGAATTTTACAAACTTTTTTTGTATATTTTTTACTGCTTTTTATACTTTGTATAATATGGAGACCATATAACACCCGCATACTCCAGCACGCTTCTAACATAAGCAAAATATAAGCTTTTAATGCAATGTATGTTATTAAATGTCTTGCATGACCGCTTGACAAATCCTAGTTGCATATACGCTTTGCCTGTTATGTCATCGATATGTTGTGATAGGCCCATTTTTTCATCTAATAGTATTCCCAGGTCTTTTACTAATTTTACTTGTTTTATTGGGGTGTTATCGATTTTGTAAGTGTATTGAATTTTTTTGTTTTTACGCGAAAAAGTTATCTTATTACATTTGTTTATATTTATTGAAAGTTTATTTTGTTTGTAGTATATTTCTAACCTATTAAGATCTTGTTGAATTTGATTACAGTTATCTATTGATTTTATTCTTAAGAAAATTGTTTGGTCATCCGCGAACATAAGATGTTTAGAAAAGTGAAAACAATATTTTATATCGTACAAATAAGCATTAAATAATAATGGGCCAAGTATTGACCCTTGGGGTACTCCTGATGTAATGTTAGTGAACATGCTTTTGTACCCGCATATTACTGTTGCTTGCCATCTGTTGGTTATGTATGACTTTATCCATCTGTAAAGGTCACCACGTATTCCAAGGGAGAAAAGCTTATGTAACAGGATAATATGATCAACGCGCAATTTGCGTCAATTTGGTCACCCTCATCCATACCTCTCAGTATATAGTCAGTGAAAATAGTCAAATTAGAAACTGTTGAGCGATTTTTAGTAAAGCCGTGTTGTTGCTCCGGTAGTTGTTTAGTGATTAATGGACTTATAACATTATGTACTAGTTTTTCGAACAGTTTGCTAAAAGAGTTAAGGATTGAGATAGGCCGAGAATGGTCAATTCTGTTTTTGGAGCCTTTTTTATGAATAGGAACTACATGTGCTTCTTTCCATTTTAAAGGGAATGCACAGAATGTGTTAAGTTACAGATTATATTATATATGTGATAGTGGTGCTGCAAGTTCCTTACTACATCTTATTAGACCTACAGAAATCTGAGGCACAGACCTAAAAAAAGGTTGTAGCACCATTGATATATATCACACATTTTAATAAAAGTTTTGTGCCCCGCTGTTGCCCTGGACTTTTATTTAACTCATGCTGTGACTAGTGGCATTCTGCATGGTCACACTTTACATAAAATATTAAGATCATACAAAAATAAACTAATTATTAAATTCAAATTCAAAAATCATTTATTCTGGCAATCAGTTATGATGGCAGGGCGTAGATGCGCACACGTCATCCGACACTACGCCCTCTAAAACCCCACTCGGGTCCAGCTTCACCTCCCCAAATGGAGGGGGAGGGACACGCCCTCGACTCGCAGAGGGAAAAATTCCACAATGGTTACATTCAGTCCATTTGATATTTGGACGTCTTGAATGACACCTTTGAAGTACTCGGAATCGTCTGGTTCGGGGTTGGGCGCTTGTGTTGTGTTTGGAAGAAGAGTCGATTCGGTGGGCACAATTGGTGTTGGTGGACCACCAAGGTATAGTATCTGTAAATAGTATGCATGGTGTAATCATTTTTTAAGAGCAGTTTGACCTGGCTTTAGCTTGCGACACTTGCGAAATGGACTTTATGACAATTTAACATTCACTTGTACGATAAAGAAAAAACAATAACATTAAGTGTGTTGGTTGCATTTCTTAGTATTCAATTTAAGTTAAAATATTCCTAAACGCCTACACCGATTTTTATGAATATTTTTTGTGTGTTCAAGTGGATTCGATAAAGGTTTAGATAGGTGAACAGGACAACGTTTGTGGGGTCCGCTAGTGGTATATTTATTTATTATTATTTATTAATACAACATATTTCATAATAATAAATTTATTATCTTATTTCAAAGCAACATTTGGATTCCGGCAATTGATTATATGTACTTTGATTCAAACAATAGTAGTAGTAGTCTAGGATCGTCAATAAGTAAACATACTATGTACTTATGAAGATCGTCATAATACAACGTGAAAAAGCGAAAACATACATTTTCTCGAGTTATTGATTGATGAGGCGATGATGACAGTGCGAAAATGTTAATCTAGTGTTAATGTTTTTCTGTTATACAAACAGTAATAAATGAATAATTGTAATTATTATTAATTTTTTACTTAATATAATTTATGTTACATGATGTAAATGATATTGTCTCAATTCCCAGCGGGTCCCAGTGAATTAGTGGTTACATCGTTTTTAATTTTTTGGAACGAAGTTCCTTATCGCGCGTTGTGAAAGGGGGCTAGACGGAAAAAATTCTTACGAAAAGTTGTCACGACACTTTTTTGCTATTTGCTATTGTAATACCCGGTGTATTCTCGTCCGATCACCGAAGTTAAGCAACGCCGGGCGAGGTCAGTACTTG